AAGAAAACATTACACACATGTGTGTGTATGTATGTATGTATATATGTATGATGTGTGTGTATGTACGTATGTATGTATTGTGTATTATATATATATATGTGTATATATATATGTGTATATATATATATATATATATATATTTATATATATATATATATATATCTATATATAGACACACATATACACATTCACCTATACATACACAGTTTACCTGCACCAAGAGTGAAGACCAGTGTATTTGCAGAAAAAGAGGTAGATGATCCTACTAATTGTTAAGGATTAATGTCATTGGCCATATGACCAGTGTAGTCAAGGTCTTATAGAAATTACAGCCACACTATATCACAAAAGGAGTTAAACAGTGTAGGTAGAAACCTAAGGACAACAGCAGAAAAAGAGAAATTTTTATATCAAAATCTATAATCTGACCCATCCACACCGCCTACTGGCAGATGTTTGCAAATCATAAATATAAAAAAGGAGTCCCAATAGATGGGGCACCGCTATTGAGGTCGTCATTAACTATTTGAAAAAAAACAAAAAAAAACCCAAAACTTATGCTCATGAGCAGTATCAGGTAACAAATCCCGTGTCCAAAGAGTTAATTAAAGCCAGGTATCGTCATATATGGAGCAGATGTCAATAACGCCTACCTCAAAAATCAGCATGTGAATAATATCCTCCTGGTCACGTCCGTATATATACCCTCGATCTGATACACCTGACCATGCTGGTGTGTGACATCACGCATGTACAGTGGCCAAAGTCAACTACTGCAGACAGGCAAAGAAGGGGAAGCACCAACTTCAGCAAACAACCTGGGAAGGGCGCTACCCCCCGGAGGATCATGTCTGCTGAGGGAGAGCCCACTCATGGCCTGAAGGAACGAATCCACTACGGCAACATGTACGGCAATATGATAAAACATATCAAATTTAAGTCACATCAAACAAAGTAACAATTAGAAAATTATAGATAGAAATATTTAATGCCAATATTCATCCAGGTCTCAAGTACTGACCTATAAACATTTCTTACAGTGCGTTATTCATTTGATAGCAGCTTTTCCTGCAACCGGACATTTTGATATACACAGGATATTCTGTGTTAGCTGTACCAATATTCCACTGTTACATTTGTGTTGTTTTTTTGCTTATATATTTGGTTTGGCAGCCATACTTTGCGAACGTGACCAGGAGGATATTATTCATACACTGGCTTCAGGTGTGTGTTAATCTGCTCCATATATGACAATACCTGGCTTTAATTAACCCCTTGGACACAAGATTTGTGACCTTCCACTGCTCATGAGCATAATATTTTTCCAGATAGTTAACGGTGACCTCAATGGGAGTGCCCTATCTATAAGGACTCCTTTTATATTAATGATTTGCAAATATCTGTAAGTAGGCGGTGTGTATGGGTCTCATTACAGATTTTGATATAAAAATGTCTGTCTGCTGTTGTCCTTAGGTTTCTACCTACACTGTTTCTCTCCTTATGGGTTATAGCCTGGCTGTAATTTCTATAAGCGCTTGACTACACTGGTCATCTGACAATGACATTAGTCAACAGCTGTAGGATCATTTTCTTTTTCTACTGCTCCTGGCCAATTCATTTTTATATACATTGGTCAGTATATAGGTTTTTGCCCTTGTATTCTTTCCTATCTGTAATGCCTATGAAATGTGTTGGCCTTGCACCCTTTGTTTCTTGGGTAATATTTACAATAAAGCATCGATGCTCAGATGCCAGGAGCATGATACATTGATGTCATTTCTCTAGGCCGGGTGTCGGCAACCCGCGGCTCTTTTTCATCTTTGCTGCGGCTCCGGAGCACACTGCCCACCAGGTGACAGGCAATAGGGTTTCAGTGGTCGGCAAGCCGCGGATCGCAAGCCACATGCGGCTCTTCTGTGTGCCGGGCGCCCGCTCCCCTCCTTTTTCTCTCGGGCGGCCGCCTCAAAAGTCAGGACTCTTTTAATCCGGCCCGCGGAGCGTGGAACATTAGCTGTCAGGATGTAGGCGGGGCAGCGTGACGAACTCCTCTCACAGTCCGCCCTGAAGCCCGGAACACAGCGCGGGAACACAGCGAGAGGAACGCGCGGAGCAAAGGTAAGTGAATTGAGACAATATGGGGAATTAATTACTATAGGGGGGATGAATTACTATGGGGGATGAGGATTATTACTATGGGGATTAATTACTATATGGGGGATGAATTACTATATGGGGGATGAATTACTATATGGAGGATGAATTACTATGGGGGATGAATTACTATAGGGGGGATGAATTACTATAGGGGGATGAATTACTATAGGGGGGATGAAGCGAACTGCACGATCCTGTATATAGCATTAAGGTAAGAAACAATATATGCAGTGTCGGATTTGTTTTAAATGTTGCAATGGCTTTGCGGCTCCCAGTCTTTTTTTTCCCTTCGGAAACGGGTCCAAGTGGCTCTTTATGTCTTAAAAGTTGCAGACCCCTGCTCTAGGCCCAAGGAACAGAGTCAAAGGATATTAGACTGCTTAAAGCAGATAAGAAGTGTTTGTGGGCTTGAACGTGTTTGTGACATCTAGAAATGTTACATTAGACTGCTTAAATTAAATAAGAACTTGTTTGTGTAATTAAAAATGTCTACTTGTTTGAGAAGTTAGAAATCTTTAAGTTTAGGGTAGATAAGAAGCTGATCTGTAACAAAAATGTGATATTCTTAAACATTGTTTATTCAGTGTAGCGGCTGGGTGTGACTCTTATCCTCATGGAAACTTTCTGCTAGCTCCTCCTATAGTGGGTATGGTGCCCACCACTTCAGGAAAGCTGCCAGAAAAAAAGCTTAAAACAGGAAGCTTGAGTGTGGTCAAGGTGAGCAGCCTTCCTATGCTAAAGAGGACGCTCTGATGCTAGGACTCTTGCCAAGGCTGTATGGGCACATCGTTTGGTTGCGTTAAGGCTTCTCCGCAACCCCCTGCGCATTATGGTACTGATGGGGTCTGTTCCTTCCTGTCTTCCCTTAGGTTTAGTAATATATTAATTCTATGGTGTGACACTGTCAAAAGATGTCTATTTCATGCTGTAATGCTCACCTTATTATTGGTATGTGTTATTATGCAGATTGTGATGACTATAAGATATATCCTCCTGTGTGTCGTGTGATAATAAAAGTGGAGGTTTTGACAGTGCAAGAATATTGCAGTTGGATTCTGTTATTTCTTGGAGTGCCGAGTGAATGCTATGATGTGCAAGGGCAG